TCAGGGTGTATGATCTTCTTGATGATCTTCTGCATTCTAATTGCCAGTATCTTATGAAGGATTTTTGCATCTATGTTCATTAGTGAGATTGGCCTATAGGTCTGTCTCCTTTTCAGTTGGGTCTTTCTCTGCTTTGGGGATCAAGGTGATGCTTGCTTCTAGGAATGAATTCAGGAGTATTGCTTCCCTTTTAATTTCTTTTTTTTTCATTTTCTCATTAATTCCATTCCCTTCAATTTCACTGAAGAGTTGAAACAGTAGTGGCAGTAGTTCCTCTCTAAATGTCTTGTAGAATTCAGCAGTGAAGGCATCAGGACCCAGGCATTTCTTGGTTGGTAAGTTTTTAATTACGTTTTCAATTTCATTGATTAATATTGGGTCGTTTAGAAGTTTTAGGTCTTCTTTGTTCCACTTTGGTAATTCATACATGCCTAGGAATCTGTCCATTTCTTCTGTGTATTCTGTCTTACTGGTATATAGGTTCTCGAAGTAGATATGGATGATCCTCTGGATTTCTGCTGGATCCATTGTAATTTCACCCTTTTCATTCCTAATTGCATGGTTTTGGGCCTTTTCTTTCCTTTTTCTTATAAAGTTGGCTAAGGGTTTGTCAATTTTGTTGATTCTTTCGAAGAACAAACTCTTGGTTTCATTGATTTTTTTTTGTACTGTTCTCTTAGTCTCCATTGAATTGATTTCTGCTCTGATCTTTATAATTTCCTCCCTTTTATGAGCTTTGGGCTTGTCCTGCTTTTCTTTTTCTAGAAGCTTGAGGTTCAGCATCAGATGGTTTAATTGGGCTCACTGTGTTTTCCTAATATGTGTATTCACTGCTATGAATTTCGCTTGCAAGACTGCTATCATTGTTTCCAACAGATTGCAATATGTTGTATTGTCACTGTCATTTAATTGAAGGAACTGTCTGATTTCTTCTTTAATTTCCTCGACCCATTGGTTATTCAGAAGTGTGTTGTTCAATTTCCATGTGTTTGTGAAATTTTTTTGGTTTCTCTTGCTATTGATCTCCAATTTCATCGCACTATGGTCTGATAATCTACAGGGGATAACTTCAATTCCTTTGCACTTAAACATGTTCTCTGAGCGAGTATGTGGTCTATTTTGGAGAATGACCCATGTGCAGCTGAAAAGAATGTATATTCTGATTTTGTGGGGTGAGACCCTCTGTAAACATCTGTTAAGTTCATTTGTTCAAGAGTTCAAATGAGTTCTAGTGTTTCATTACTTATTTTTTGTCTAGTTGATCTATCTATTTGTGACAGTGGGGTATTGAGGTCCCCCACTACTTTTGTGTTAGTATGTATATGACTTTTCATGTCCATTAGTATTTGTTTTATATAATTGGGCGCACTAGTGTTTGGTTCATATATGTTTATGATTGTCATCTCTTCCTGTTGAATTGTTCCATTTACAGGGATGTAGTGTCCTCCTCTGTCTCTCTTAATCAGTGTTGGTTTGAAATCCACTTGATCTTCAGAGGATAGCTACTCCTGCTTTTTTGCAGTTCCCTGATGCATGGAGTATTGTTTTCCACCCTTTAACTTTCAGTCTAGAGTTTCTTTTTGAATTAAGTGTGTTTCTTGTATGCAGCATATTGTTGGATTTTGCTTCTTGACCCATTC